CCCCAAAACCCCAAAACCCCAAAACCCCAAATGAGATGTATCAAATGCTAAATTTAGAAATAGATTTAAAATAAAAATGTTAATCATGTAGTACCATGATTTTTATCACTGGCAACCACGTCTATTTTTGCATATTTATACTGATAATAAATGTTGTTGATCAATGATATTCCAAAAATACCATAATTAGCTAGATGACAGATTTATAGTAAGATGCTTGAAGCAAACATTATAGCATTTATAATCACAATTTGGCTCAAAATGAAAAGCATAAATGCGAAAATTAGATTTGCAATAACTACTGGATAGCATCCCACTTTGAGATTATCCCTTATACTAATCATCCCTATTAAAAATAAAAAAGGTATTGCAACAACCCAAAGTAATGCTAGTAAAGCGTATTAATACATATCAACATCAGTAGAGCTAAATGATTTCTCATTCTAAGTGTGAAGACATTTTCCATAAGCATCATAAAAATTAAGTTGTGCTAAAATACCGGTAAGTGTCAAATAACAAACAAAGAAGAAATTTTTCGCTCTCTAAATATCATAGTACAAACTCGAATCAGGATTTCTGAAAATAATAGGCACCTAATGCTCCTTCAAATAAAATGAAATATACATCACATTAAACAATGAGACGATTCCTATTAATAGTAAATCAAAAGCAACTGAAATGAACATGTAGCTTGACTAGACATTATGTTTAACAGAAATAGCTTTGTCTAAAGTATCAAAGAGTGCATATTCATCAACATTACAAAGCTCATCAAGATTAGAAACTATGATTTAATTGTTAGCGTCAGTTGAATCTGTTGCGCTATCTGATTCATTACGGTATAAGAAGTATTTTAGCATATTTACAGTGACGTACTCATTGTCTTAAAATGAGGTGATCTTTACCCTTGCTCTAGTCACATAATATGGTTTCCTTATAAGCTCAATAAATTAATTCAGATATAGCATAAACACACCAACAGAAGCGAGCCCCATCAAAAGAGTAGTGATGAAATTAGAGTATCTCTTATATTTCTTGATTTTATTTTGCATCTTCTCATCATTATTTTTCACCATTGTATAATTAAGGCTTTATACCTTTTCACTTGGTGGGATCTTATACTTAGCATCATAAACTCTTTTGTATGTTACCTTATGATCATCTGATTTTGTGTTAATCTCATATTCATTATCCTCCTCATCATCATCGTCATCTATTTTTAGGTCGACATAGAGTGCAGCCCTAGCATTGAACTTTTTAACAGGATCAAAGCCTGCTCCAATCATCCTTGAGTTCATAGAGCTATTTGGTGTATAGTTTGGATTTTAGGAATGAGGGCCTTCATAGTTTAATTCATACGAATCATCATCATGATGCCTTTTACTTTGATAATTTATTTTGCCTTGTCTATAATGCTAAAGCGATTTATCTAGAGTTTATAGCTTATTTTCCTCTGTATCATTGTTTAAGTAATCATTATATTCCTCTCCAGGATTAATAAAATCAAGCATTAGATTTTTCTTTACTTTTAGAACAGTGCCTCTTTGAAGTGATTCATCATCTTCTTGTATTTCAGACTCGTTTTGATATTGATGGTCATAATCTGGCGAATCATGATTATTGTCAACGCTTTCTCCATCTTCATATTAATTCATTTTTAATTTATGTTTATTAATCAATTTACTTTCTCATCCTAATCTGATGGGGTTTTGGGGTTTTGGGG